GTAGCGAAATGGCAAAAATACCTACAAATCCCCCACGGTACATGTTACCCATACACTGTCCATGCAGAGCATCATGAATCTAGCCCCAGGACTGTAGTTTTCAGTTAGCCAGACAGGACTTTTTCTTGGTGACGGCGATTTTATTGTCTTGTCATTAATGACAAATTTTGTCCTGATACCGTGGAATCAGTAATTTTTCGAGCTTTCGAATCTCCCGTTATACATTATCCTAATCTGGAGTTAACATGCAAACACTAAATAAATCTTTTTTTCAGTGCCCTCCGTCGCTCCTCAAAATGTGACAGCGGTCAGTAAGACTTCCACNCGTATTACATTTAAGCTTGTGTAGGCTCTTTGTCCGCCTGTTGCTGGACGGGAAAGCAGATTTGTTTTTTTATTACGATCGATCATTTAGATCAGTTTTGAATTTGTTGCTGTTCTGCATATAAACTTACGGTATCGGGAAAACTAAAACTGATTCAACGGATATGTTTAATTCTTGTTATATATACAATAAAACAAATCACAACATAGAAAGTGCTTTGCACAGATTTTTATTCACTCGTCGAAAAACTTTGGAAAACTCACTCGTTCGCTGCGCCCATTCGTTCGTTTTCCAAAGTTTTGCAACTCGTGAATAAAAATCCGTACGTCGCACTTTCTGTGAAGTAATCTATGTATACTGTCCTAATATCCTTATCATGGGCGCTTTCTCATTCAATTAAAAATTTCGAAACGGGGACAAAATGCTACGAAAATTTCCTGGGAAAGTTTTCAGAACATCCGTAAATTGTTGAATTTCCGAAAACGCCGGAATTCCAGTCGGAAAGACAAATGGAACGGAAATTCCAGGAAAAACTTCCAAAAATTAATTTATATCTCTTTTTCTGAAATACCCGGAAAACACTGTCCATTCGTCGCTGGAAATTTCCGGAAACTCTAGCCGGAATTTTCCATCGACTGGAATGTGCCCAAGTCATTGACCTGGACCACTGCTCCTTGCCAAATTACAAACCATACAGCGATCAAACTAGCCTACATGTTGCCAAAACGTAGCGAAATGGCAAAAGTAGCTACAAATCCCTCACGGTACATGTTACCCATACACTGGCCATGCAGCGCATCGTGAATCTAGCCCTAGGACTGTAGTTTTCAGTTAGCCAAACAGGACTTTCTCTTGCTGACGATGATTTTATTGTCTTATCATTAATGACAAATTTTGTCCTAATACCGTGGAATCAGTAATTTTTCGAGCTTTCGAATCTCCCGTTATACATTATCACAATCTGGAGTTAACATGCAAAAGCTAAATAAATCTTTTTTTCAGTGCCCTCCGTCGCTCCTCAAAATGTGACAGCGGTCAGTAAGACTTCCACCAGCATCTTCCTGAGGTGGGATGCTGTTCCATCCAATCAAAGAAGCGGTAACATTCTGGGGTACAAAGTGAATTTGACATTACAAAGCAAAATCGATGACAGGCAATTCACCGAAGAGGTTAGCGTTGCAATGGTTTACGTCAACCTAACAGGACTCAGAAAGAGCAGAAATTTCAATATTACAGTGTCTGCCTTCAATGAATGTGGAGATGGACCTCGTAGTGTGAATCTCTTTGTGAAGACAGATGAAGACAGTAAGTGTTTTATTTAGGAAGTAGAAAACATAATCTATCGCGTTTTAGTAAAAATCTACTAGCGCTGAATCATGAATACTGTTCTCTAATTTGGCTGCGCTACTCACTCAATATTCCGTTGTGGAGAGTCAGTAGCCTAGCGCGTGTGCGGTTGTTGACAAAGTGGCGGCCGCTTCTTGACTTTTTCAAAGGGTCCGTGAAGAGGATTGAGAGAAAGTTTTGAACGACTAGTAGATTAGATTATGCAAATCCTTAGTTTCCAAGTATAAGTTACTTTACACATAACAATGTACCTACCTACACACACCACTGCGTATATATCGTAAAGTTCTGGTTATAAGCCACACACCCCCTCCCCCCTATGGAATTTTACGGTATATGCCTCCATGTACCATGGTCCCATGCATTTGCTTTTCTACTTTGTTAACCTTAGTAATGCATGTTTATAACTCTTCCATATTGTTATCGAATGGCATTTGATGTTAAAAACGATACTTATGACACATTCCAGAGCCTGACGCGGCTCCTCAAGATATCACGGCAGTCAACAAGACGTCAACAAGTATACTGATCAGGGCTGTTTTATAATCTACTTTGTTAACCTTAGTAATGCATGTTTATAACATTTCCATATTGTTATCGAATGGCGTTTTGTATTAAAACCGATACTTATGACACATTCCAGAGCCTGATGCGGCTCCTCAAGATGTCACAGCAGTCAACAGGACGTCATCAAGTATACTGATCATGTGGGGTGAAGTGCCAA